CCTCTATTATTACAATGATGGGCCAAACAGAATTGGTGTGTCAGAATTAATATCCTATTTCTGTCTCTTATAGGTTATGGCACTTTCTTATGAAAATTCAAAGAGAAGTAAATGCCATTGCTCCTTTGAATGCCAAGTTAACTTTGAATGCCATGAATGCCAACTTAACCTTGAATACAGAATTGGTGTGTCAGAATTAATATCCTATTTCTGTCTCTTATAGGTTATGGCACTTTCTTATGAAAATTCAAAGAGAAGTAAATGCCATTGCTCCTTTGAATGCCAAGTTAACTTTGAATGCCATGAATGCCAACTTAACCTTGAATGTTAATTAAGCTGATAAGGATTTGTCTTTCCAGTTGCCAGACTGAAGTGCTCGTCCAACTGACTGCAGTTCTTTATTGTTCTTTGTCGCTTCTTGCACCTCTGACAAGGCAATTGTTCTGGGAATGGCTTGCTCTGTTACAAAGTTAATATATTCTTTGGCAATAGACTGTCCCGAGGGCTCGTTAATTTGAGCCCGCGAAAGGAAATCTGCCGGATTCCCTGTGCCTGGACGATACTTGACCTTGTAGTTATACTGCTGGAGGCGCAATGCCCATCTCTGTATTCGAGCAGATTGTTTGGCCTTTGCTGAGTTAAGGATTTCTAACGCTTGGTGATCTGCATACAGGGTAAACTGACAACCAAATAAACATAAATTTTCTCGCATGCCCACACACATGCCAACGCTTCTCGTTCTGTCTGACAGTACCGCTGTTCAACTACTGTTATTGCTCTACTAGCAAAAGCAATCAATTTCAAAATGCCCTGTTCGTCATGTTGAACCAAAATAGACCCTAGGCCTACAGGACTAGCATCCATAACCACACTCGTTGATCTGTTAGGGTGATAATATGCAAACGTACACTGTTCAGATAGCGAAGATTTAACCTGATCAAAGGCCTCTTGATGACTGGCGTTCCATGTCCATGGAACCTTTTTGCGGTCCAATTTCCGTAGCGGCGCCGTAATGGTGGAGAAATTAGGAATAAACTTCGAACAGTAATTCACGAGTCCTAGAAAGCTACGAAGTTCTTTTACATTGTTTGGGGCAGGTGTATTTTTTATTGCAACAACTTTCTCTTGGTCAGGCCTAATCCCATTCTTACTAAGAATCATGCCATAAAACCATAAACTGTCCACATTGAAAAGGCACTTGCTTTTCTTTGCAGTCAATCCTGTCTCTCTTAGTCTCTGCAATAGAGCTTGAAGATTGTCATCATGTTCTTTTTGAGTTCGCCCCCAAACAATGATGTCATCAACAATGTTTTTAACTCCATTCAATCCTTGCAATGCATGCTGGTTAGCATTTTGAAACACTTCGCTTGCCGAGTTGATTCCGAAAGGGAGTCTTTTCCACTGGAAAAGATCTTTATGAGTGCTAAAAGTTGTTATACCACGCGATTCTTCGTTAAGCACAATTTGATGGTATCCGCTTCTTAAATCCAGGCGAGAAAAATGAGCTGCATTGCTCATATCATCTGTTAGTTCCTCAATTATAGGCATAGGGTGGTGTTTCCTCTTAATGACTTCGTTAACTCTGCGATAGTCCCCACATACGCGTATTTCGTCCGGATTTTTTGGCTTAGGCACGATCACTACTCCACTGACCCACTCTGTACTTTTATTAACGACAGGTTCAATCAAATCATTATCCTGCGACTCTTGAAGCCACTTCTCAAACTGAAGACGAAGATTAAAAGGTATTCTACGGTATGTTTGGGCACAGGTGGCACGCTATGGTCAATGTGCAGTTTTTGTTCAAACCCTTTAAGATGTTCTACACCTTCAAATAAATCTGCGTACTCTTCTAAAAGAGTCGAGATTCGTCCTTCGTCTGGCGTACTTGTGCATACTTTTGTCATTTTCTCACCATTACAACTTGTCGAGTTACTGGTTGTAGTGGGCATCTGAACTTGGGTTGTGGTTTGTCGCGAGGCTTTTCTATCCAAATCACCCTCTTGTACTGCTTGCTGAGAAACCGAATTTAGATCAAACTTAATAAGTATTAATTGCTGTGCTGTTGTATTACTTACCAATTTACCATATTGAGATGCTGTAATGTAAATTGTAGCCACTGTCATACAATTTTTTTATTCTACCAGTGTCTCCACTTTGCCTAATAGGGGAATAGGGTTATTTTCTCCAAAATCATGAATCTTTGTGTTGGTTTTTGGAATGATATTGGTTCTTTGCTTTGTTTGCTTAAATGTTCGAAATCCTCAGGACCAAAAACATTAACAGAGGCACCACTGTCCACCATCATTTTCACCGGGACTCCATTAACACCGACCGTAGTATAGGGATGCTTACTTTGTTGTGCTTGTTGAATTGTGAACATGTGTTCTGAACCGCTGTCTGAGTCACTACTCGAATTACTTGTTGATTTGTGGGTTGATGAATGCCGTTTATCAACCTTATTAACATGCTGGAATGAACTAGTAGCTCCTCCGGTTGTTTTACATACACGAGCAAAATGCCCCCTTTTATGACACTTGTAACATTCTTTATCTACAGCTGGACATTTCTGGTTATCCCTGTGTGGAAACCCCAGTCCACATTTAAAACATATCTTACTAGATGATGACGAGTACTTACTGGTTGTTATAGGTCTTCGGTGATCCTGTTGTAATTGATTAGTATATTCCTCATTACCATCAGAAATGTCCTTTTTTATAATTTCCTTGGTTTGTTGATCTGTACGAGCTAATGCTCTTCAATAATCTAATATTTGTGACAGGGTAAAAGTTTTTTCCATCAAAATCTTTCGTCGCAATCTGTTAGATAAACATCCTTCAATTATTTGTTGTTTCAGTTCAGTATCTGTGTCTGCAAACTCACATGTTTTGGCCAAAGTACATAATCTAGTATAATATGCATCTAATGTCTCATGTTGCTTAGCTTGACGAAATTTATATACCTCGAAAGGTACACTCTTAGAAGGACTAAAATATTCAGTGAGCTTTTCACACGCCGTCTTAAAGTCATCGTCTTGACCTGTATTCGGTAGCGTGTCAAAAATAGCCTCCACTTCGGGACCTGCCGCACTAACATCCATCTTAGGGTCAAACGGTGGCATGGGCTGTAGATTTCCCGCGCTCGCCATGATGATCAAATACCTTCACAAAATGACACAAATACCGTATACGATTTTTTATCTCACGTTTCAATCTTCACTTCTCGCAAACACCCAAAATGAATCACTCGTTCTTTAATAGTAACAGGTAATGCATAAATTTACCCTCGTCGCCAATGTTATGTCTTCAAAATCGTTATTAATTTCAACGTCCCAAAATATAAAACCTACACACATGTGCTCACTTCCAATCGTCCCGACTCCCTGATGCAACGTTCTATACTTCATGTAACACCAACATAACAACGGGTCAAAACATATTCACGTCAGAGATCTAAGGCTGGTATACTTTAATTTAGGGTTTTATAATTAGTTGCGGTACTAATCATGTGTTTAGAAAATGCTCCGCCGTCCGTCGTCCGAATTTTATCCGTCCGCTTTTTAGCTACACCCTTTCACACACTGTTTTAATGGTGCGTATTGTCATAAATCACATCGGCTACGCATAGAAAACCAACATTTCAGAGAAAATATTTACATTCGCTAAGTGAGTGAAATTTATTCGCTGCGCACGCTTGTTTTTGTTAACATAAAATTGGAATGGTAATTGAATTATCCATTGCTTTTTAGCATAATAGTTTAATACGCATTCAAATACTATTGTGCAGAAGGAAATTTCGCAACTAAACAATAGTATAAGCTTCAAGCAACAAAAAATCTACAATGACGTTTAAAGAAGTGTCTGGAAAAAGTTGACCCCCTAGTATCCGTCAAAAAGTACAAAATACGTATGTTCTATTATATTATGAAGACAATTACGTTATATGAGTGTGATTCGTGTTATTTGGTACAAGATTTTTTACAGTCTTTCAAAATTATTGGGGAGGGGGGGGGGGGGGG